AAAGTCTTAAAGCTAAATCCCTTGTTAATCTTGCGTTAATACTAATTTTCAGTCGTTAGTATCGTAAGATAACAGTACCATATATACCAATTTTGTAGTAGTCAAATACTCTAAGTTAATGCTTATTTTGCCAAACACACTTCTTGATAAATATAATTATGATTTGCTTACTTCAAAATGGAAATTGAGACTAGAGTGTAATAGTAAGAAATTTTTTATCCCAGTTAATATGCATAAGATCAAGAATAAGTTTGAGGTGAATTATGCGAATATTACTTTTGAATATGATGATTTCTTGATTCCAGACTGTATTTCGCAAGATTTAAGTAAGGATGATATATTAAAAAAAGTGAGTTATGAAAGTATAGCAACTCGTATGAAAGAGATTGAGAAGGCATTATTACTAGTGTTCAATCAAATTTGAAATCATAGGACAGACACTATAATAATCTTTGTGAGTGGTATGAATGATGCTAAGGTCAAGTTTTTAATTTTTGTTCAAATACACGACCTTTTACCATAACCTTTTCTATCCTATTTTGTACCTTTTTAAACACTTCCAAAGTATCTTTAGAATCTTATAAAATAATGAGTGATAGACTGGAAGATGGTGATATCTTTGATACTTGTTTTTTTTTTATCTCTAATATCCTATCTATCTTTTTCGATAAATCCTTATCATCAGAGATATGAACAAACTTGGATTTCTTTTTGTCTGCCTGCGTTTGCATGGAACTACCAGAAGAAAAAGTATTGTCATATGAAGACTTCTCATTAGAATCCTGGCCAGAAGGTACTGAATGAAGAAGGGAATCCTTATTATTAGAAATGTGAACAGATTTTAATATTCTACACTATTTCTCAGTCAGTTCAGAAGGCCTTAGATTATCAATGATTTTTTGATATGTTGTTGATCCTATACGATATTTTTACACATAATACGCTGAGCATATGGAATATTATTCTAAGCATTTCTAATTTCTTCGATAGTTTCGAATGACAAGCATCAGGCATCTGATTTAAGAAATTTATGAGTATAGATTATTTGTTTTTTGCTTATACCAAATTTATATATTTCTAATATATTACTAATAAAAAACCAATAAAAAATTAATAAAAAACTTATTCACTATCAATTTGACATTGATTTTATACTAATATAAATACTGCTCTCTATCATGCAAGTCTGCTATAACTCTGATCCAAATAGAAATAGGTATAAAACATATATAGCCTATGATTTTAGACTAGTTAATTATTAGTATAATTTTGATTACTACCTTTTTTTATGCCTAAAACTAGAAAAAAAATCCTATTTTATTTGAAACTTTATAGCTAAAAAGAAGGAAGTTCAGCATATAAGTTATATATGTTTTCGATCTCTTTATCCCAATTAAAATTCTCTGGAAGTTGTTGAATGCGGTCAGGCTAACCAGTTGCATATCTATGCCAAATTTCATAAATTCATTTCGTTGCAATATGGTGCTTTTTAATCATTACCGTTATAGCATTTTTAATCTTATTACAGGAATTATGAATTTCCTTCAATGATTTAGAAGATAAATATGTAGCTCCTGCTTGATAATGTCTCTTTGATATGTATTCCATTTATTAAACCTTTCTAATATAAATCTTTTAGTCAATTATGTAATTCTATTTTTTTTTTCTCTGATTGCAAGTATATATGAAAGGTAGATCATAGCAAATGTGTATACTATTAAAGACCTTAATTCAGGCAATCATCTTGATAGTGTCTGTAAAATAGAGCTTGAGAAGACATTGCGTATTAATAGTAAATCTGATTCTGAGTTTACTAATAAATACAATGACTTGCTAGGAGTATATTCAAATTTTGAGAAAAGATCTAATAGAGAGAAAGCCAAATTGAATCGTAATTTAGAACAGGCTAACACTAATATTAGGAAGCTCTCTGAACACATATATAATCTTACAAATGAGATAATGCAGTTACGTTCAGAGAAAGATTCTCTAAATTCTCAGGTTATTCACAAATGTATCTCTCTTGCAGAGTCTAAGAATAAAGTAATTACAAAATCAAAAGAGATAAAACTTTTGCAATCCAAGTTGAAAATGTTAGAGAAGAATTATTCCTCAGCTCAAATGAATTTATCTGTAATGGATTCTCTCAGACTTGAATTGGAACAGGCAAAGGGTGATTTGTCTTCAAAAAAATACAAAATAAAATGTATGAAAAAAGGGAAAGAATCATGTATAAATAGGTATTAGACTCCTTGTCTTCATCACAATTAAATTTAATGGAGAAAAATTCTTGTCTCTAAGAGATAATCTCAAAAAAAGACCTGAGAGGCGCTTCATATAATGAAATAATAGATCTCTCTAATTCTCTACTTCCGTCTATAAATAATTCATCGCAAAAGTTACCAGGTTGGGTCAGTGATAATTTAAAACCCCTTGTCTATAAGCTTGGTCTTAAAATAAAATTATGGAATTCAATAAAAGTTTTGCTAGGAAAAATGTATTAGAGGCTTTGTAAGAGCTATTACCTTAAGAAGAGATAGTTACAGAAAGTCAGGCAGATATCTCTATTTAATCAATACATTCATAGTCAACTAATACATTCTGAAAAGTATATTTTGAGTGAAGGAGTTATAAAGCAATTAGGTAGAGCAAAAGTGGTATCTTTATCAGCAATTGCTCCTATCTTTGCGAGCCCCTTAATGTCACCGATATTAATATATATCATACTTATCTTATTACTTCTTGCAATTATATGGCTTGTGATTGGAAAAAAATATGAAATATATGGGGTATGAATTTAAAAAATGACCATCATTTCATACATGAAAAATATATAAATAGATCATTAGCTTTGCTAACTAATACCGTATAAGTACTGACGTAAGTAGGATTTCTTTAAATCTTTTTTAATGTGAGCTAATATCTTTTCTGATAAATATTTGAGTGGATTTATTAAGATCTTTTCAGCGTAAACTACCATATATGCTAATAACCATCCAACATGAATGGATTTACCTCCCTTACCATTATGCCTATGTTATTATAAAAATCAATAGTCATCTATTATAATATCTGTCATTCCCTCCTGTTCTATTATTATTTTACGAAATACCTATCTATCCTCTTCTATAATTAGAAGACAAATTTCGTTAGATTCAATTTCTGTGTACTGGAAAACTTGATCATGTAGTTCAGCTATTATACTAATAAAGCTTATTTTTAAAATATGTAGTTTTTTTAGCTGATCTATCCTAAGAATACAGTTTTGCCAAATTATTATTTGCGAAAATACTAATGATCATTCCAAATCATCTCTGGACATTTTTGAGGCTGGGCTGTATGATCGGAGGTCAAAAGTTTGAAGATAGAAATTGAAATTAGCTGGTATTATTACACAAGAAAAAATATATAAATAATATTATGAGTTCTCTTTGCCAAAATTACCATACCTCGCTAAGAGTACTTAACAATATATCTGCTTCGGACGAATTCTCAAAATACCTAGAAAGTTTATTGAAGGCTCTTGATATATTTTATAAGCTAATTTTTTGTCTTTTTCTGAGAACATTCATCGATCTGCTTTTCCCTTTTATCTGAATCCTTGATCTACATTATTCTATCTGATGGGGGTAGTTGATAGCTATCATCTTCATTGATAAAGCGTGCGCACATTGCTGTTGTTGATCTTAAATAATAATTGATATCTATTTTCATGTTTTGCTCTTTTGCAATATCTGCATACTACATAAAATCACCAACTCTATATGGTTCCTTTCTACCATCTTTATTATATAGAGGTAGACCTTTTATAATAATATAGCTAAAACGTTCGCTGGAATCAGAAATCCTCTTATTTCTTTCTCTCATACGTTCCATAAAGTGATTGTTGCAAAGATTTTTTTCTTAGGCTTTCATGTACCTATTACGATAAATTCATTGAAATCCCATTTCTTATTCTGGGCTTCTCTAAGAGTATCTTCAACAATTTTGTGAATTGGACGTATATTATTTATATCTATAGCCTCTCTTATAATCTTCTTTCCAATGAATTTGAGAAGCTGAGATTTACCTTGCTTTACAGTTTCTATCCCTTTCATGAAAAGTTTTTTTCAGCTTAAAGTTTACTACATCTTCATGCCTAACCCAAAGTATTTCTTTTTACTAGTAAAGCAGATGAGAAATAATACTTCTTTGTATGCTATTTTTAGATAAGACATCCCACTTTTATCCTAAGATAAGCATTTACTTGATTACGCAACTTTTTCATCATATTCATAGTAATTTTGATCATTTTGGTCCAGTACACTTCTTTAGGAAGTTCTTTTTTAGAGAAGGCTTCATCGCATTTCTCATAATACCTATCTGGACAGGTGAGATATAAAGAATCAGTATCCTCATATTTTATCAGAAACCTTTTCTTTGATATGAATTTGACAATAAGATTAAGATTATATTTTCACATCATAGTAGTTCTACAAGCTAATTCACGAAAAATGATTGGAGATTTTCTGTTTTTAGCTTTCCCATAAAAAGTGTTCATATATACATTTAAAGCTTTTTACTTTGAATCCCAATAATTGTAATCGAAGTATATGGATGAGTATTCTAAATTTAAGCTTTCTGGAATCCTTTTGCCTCTTTCTTTAGCTAAAATTATCATCTTCCTAATATGTTTTCTAGTGAGATCAAACATGCTTTAAGCTTCAGCCTCTTGTTAAATAAATCCTCTAATACAGCTGGATATAGGCCTTTCTTTTCAGTTTAGCTATCATGACAGACACACCAAGCTTAAACAATATGTTTATTAAATGAAAACTCAATCTTATGCAAGTTATTTCCATTATTTTGTGTAATATCGAATCAAATATGAATTTTTCTGAGGAAAGATTATATGCCATGATAATACTGGAATATAATGAAGCAAAATTCAATCCCGTTACAAGTCTTTCTCCTTCAATCCCTTTTTTAGGTGAAAATATGTACATATCGGGATATTTCCCTTTTTCTATATCTTCAGAAACCTTTATACTAATTACCATCATTTAACAGCATATGCGCTGAGAAGGTTCTATACATTTATTTTATTTGCACGATAGTGTGTGTCAAAAAGAAACGTAAGCTATGAAGGCAACTTCTCTATAATCATTTATTATACTTTGGTTTACTAAAAGCTCTTGATAGTGCAATGCGTCTATAATACAGTAATATGCTACTTCACGCATATTTCTTGTGGTTGATAAAGAGGTGCTTTTTTTCACCTCTGAATAAATTTTCTACATTTTATTGTATGGCATATCGGCCTTACTGTCAAAAACTGAATTTTTGTAAGAAGAATTTAAGTGAGCCTTCCTTTTCGACTTCAGAATGAGGAAAATTTTTATTGAGACACACTCGTACGTCAATTGCTACACATTCTGGCAGTTTAAGGAAACTAGAAGTAAAATTCTCTTTTGCACTGATTTTGATCTTAATTGGACCGCCTATATATTCCTTTTCCTTCAGATCCTCTTCACCTTTCTCAGAATGCTTAACAACATTCTTTGCCTTAAAAGCATTTTTAGAATTCTCTTCTATCTTTCTATAGTATTTCCACTTTAGGATTTCTTCCTTTATTTCGAACTTTCCTGTCATTCGCTTTCACAAAAAAAACTCTTTCTCCCAAACGTCCAGTTCACTAAAAAGATCGACACAAAATATAAAAATTATGCTAGTTACTAGAGCGACTTCTTCCAAACTACAAACGAAAAATACTTACTAACGAAATAAAAGAAATATCCCAGTTAACAACTCCAACACTTCAAACTCTTCTTCAAAAACAACTGAAACAAACAAAAATAATATTTTCCAAAAAAAACAATAAACTGCTTCACCTTCAAACGACAACGATATCGATCCAGAAATTGAAAAAATTATCATGAACATTATGGCAAAAGCTAACAAAGAAACTTTATTAGAACAAAATACTGACGACAACAACACTTCTGATAACAACGTGCCCTTAGAAATGGATATTGACAATATTTCTACCAGCACTCCTCTCCAACCTTCTCTTCCAAAACAAACTGCCAACGACTCTATGCATGCCAAATCAAAAGATAACGACTTTTTCAATGATACGGGTTTCGACTACGTGCTTCCTCCTATGGAAAAAGGAAAACAGAAATAAACTTGGTCTGAAGAAATTGAGCAAAACGAAGGGTCACATGACCAAGAAAATCAAGGGGCTTCTTTTAACATGTTTACTGCTTCCACGCGTTTTTTCACGACAGATAACGCGTCAGATATAAAAGGCAAAACCATTGCTGACAAATGCACGTTTATTAATTCTTTATTTGTACAATTCAATGGTTACCAAGGATCCACCTACATTTCCAAATACAGAAAATTCTCAGTTTATTTTCAATCAATGGAGGAGTTTACACATGCTATCACCAAAGTACAAGAAACACAACATAATTCCATATTCACTATCGCTGACCCTGCAGCTAAAAAACTCAAACAAGATGCCGAAAAGGGAAGGACCCTTAAAGTTTTGGACAGTCCTTATTTGTCAAATCTGATGTATTATGCAATTTTTTTTCAGATACAGAGTGATCACCAGATTCTCCATGATCGTCCGGGACCCTGGCAGATCGCTTTTGTTATATTTGAAAACACTGACATCATCAAGCCCTTTTATAATGAACTTTAGTCTATTAAATTTCTTGAAACTGCGCTTAGAACTGAACCAACTGATCTTGACCCCATGCAAATCGCTCTTAGACAACAATTTGAACTAAAATTAACTGGTCTCCCCTTCAATACAGATTAATAACAATTAGGAGATTTTCTTGCTCACATCAAAGCTAGAACGTGCTTTATTCCACGTGATCAATAATACAGACTCAGATCCTACGCATTTATTAACTTCGCCTCACTAGAAGATCTTGATGCTGCAGCGGCGCAGACTAAAAAATTTAAAGGAAAAACTCTATACTGAATAGAACCATCAAGCAAACATTGTCGCAGCTGTGGTACTCCTGACCACGAGTTCAAAGATTGTACCAACCGTAAATCTGCAAACCCTTACAGACCACTCTACAATCGCTTTAAATCAGAGCCTTACCGTCCACCACGTAATAATCCCTATAATAATTTCAAAGGTGCTACGCCATATATCAATGCTCTTAAAAACACTCCTCCTAAGAATGATGATAAACTACCCTTCACAGTTACCCCTAACCTTGTTGATGCGCTGAAAATTGTTCAAGAAAGACTTGATAATATCGAAAACAAGCTCATCTCGATCAGCGATGAAATTGTCTCTATAAAAAATGACCTGATTGAACATCGACAAAATGAAGAAGACATTGGATTTAGACTCAACCGTCTCGAATGTATGCACAATTTCGAACATAACGTCAAACAAGTTACTGACCCGAATTATGTTTTCCCTTCACATGATGAATACTTTATGATTGATGATACTACTCCTCTAACGACTCAAGAAAATCTTACACATATCCCTCCTAATGAATCATCTGTCTCCAATACAAATCCCTCAGTTAATCTCCAAAGAATTGGGGTAGTCGAATTATCAGTTAATGAAATTAAAGACGAAATGAGAAATTTGATTGCCACTTTCGGCCCAATTATCCAAGCGAGTAAATCCTCCTAATGAGTGTATAACCCCATATAAATAATTTTAATAGAACGTCCACTACGATTCCTACAAATTTTAATAATATTACAAACGCAAATTTTCTTTCTATCATTAACAATCCTAATTTACTATCAATTGCCACACACAATGTCCAAAGCTGTGTTTCCCCAAATAGACTTCAACAAATTGAACAATTTTTTATTAATTTCAACCTCGATATTTTAGGCATCAGTGAAACTCATCTTACATATTTGCAAGCTAGATCTCTTAATAATAATTTGCATGACAAACCTTTCAAATTTTTCTTTCACAGCTCAAACCGTTTTCAAAATTGTCAAGGTGTTGGACTCTTGATTAGAAATAATCTTTGTTCACACCTGTTTAATCAAGGCTCTTTTTTCGACTGAATTTTACATTTAGACTTTCAATTTAAAAACAAATTTAAGTTACGCATTATTCAAGTTTATCTCCCTGCAAGTTATCATGACAAAAAATCTTATAAACATAGACTACATATTCAAAACAAACTAATAGATCTCTTAGTTCAAAGCCGAAAAAATAATTTTCACATAATTCTAATGGGAGATTTTAATATTAACATTTCTAGAAGCTACAAGGTTAAAAGCAAAAGGATTTTACAAAGTTTTCTTCATAATATTATCAATCTTGGCTTTCTTCACACAATTTCTATTTTCACACCTTCCTTCCCCGCCACTTTCACATCTACATCTAACTCATTTTCTTCTCACATAGACTATATTTTTATTTCTTCTTCTCTTACACATGACCTTGTTTCCTTCAATATTTTAAATAATTTCTATTTCCTTTACTCATCTGATCATTTCCCCCTTCTCATATCACTATACAAAAACAATTTCTTCAATCAATCATCCAACGCATACTTAAAACAACACAAAATCACTAAACAAAATTTTCTTTTCAACAAAACTACTTTACTTCAATAGGACTTTTTCGTAGACAAAATGGACCTTATTCTTAAAACTAGTCCAAAGTACCGATCTTATACAGCTCACGAACTCAGTGATTCTCATAACTCTCTTAACGCTCCTTGAAACTTCTTTGTTAACACGGTTATCACCGCTGCTAATAAACACTTACCCAAATAAATCACGACCTCACGCTATAATTCTTTGTTCACTTTCTTCAACTCATCAATTTATAAACACATTAAAAAACTATACAAACTCTATTACAAAATTAACAAATTCCTTATTCAATCACCAGTACCACTCACTCTTTTTCCCCTCTCTTTCGACGAACACAAATCACTGCTAACAATTGCTTCCTAATACTCTATTTCTACAGCCTCGATTGATGACCATTTTTTGGCAAACTGTCCTTTAAATTATTTATCTGAACTAAAATCTGACATCATCAAACCTATGCAAGCCAAACAACAGATTATCTCTAGAACTGAAAACAATGAAACGATCTCAGAGTTCATCAAAAAACGAAATGATAACTTCAAAAATGCACCCACTAAAATGATTGACTCTTGTCTTGAAAGGAACAGAAAAGCCATCATTCTTGATCATATTATAATGCAGACATACCAGAATAACATTTAGAATTAAATCCCGATGACATTAAAATGCAAACGGCTTCACATTTCCAAAACATAGCTGGATCAACAAATAGAAACATTTCATCTATTCAGTCACCTAATTTCAATACAAATTAGACACATTGGGAAAGCCATTATGACCCTATTTCTACTATAGACAATGATTGCTATGCTGGCATCATGGATATCCCCAACTATGATGAATGGTTATTGACATTAAAACATTTACCAGACAACAAAGCTTCTAGCCCTTTAAAGATTACAAACGAAATGCTTAAGAAACTTGGTCCCAAAATGAATCAGTTTTTATATACCATTATCTGTGCCTGTTTTATCAGTTCATTTACACCCACACAATGGAATCTTGTGTACGTCTACCCAATTCCTAAACTAAAACCTTAGAACTGTAAGCTCGATAACACACGTCCTATTACCCTTTTGGATACAGTGAGAAAAGCATTCGTAAAGATTTTAAATCAAAGGTTGCAAGATATTTTTATAAAGAATAATATTCTCAAAGGTCTTAACTTTGCTGGTTTACCTCATTAATCAACCATGGACCTATTACACATAGTTAACAATATTCTTGAATACCGACCGGTTGAATAACAAATTTGATCCAACTAATCGTACTAACTTATATATCCTCTTTCAAGATATGTCCAAAGCGTATGATCGTGTCAACATCTATATGCTCAAAAAAGCAATGGATAGACTAAAAATCCCTTTTAGATTTACTAACATTATCACAAATCTTTTTTTGAATCGCAAAAACTCAGTTTTTACTGTATACAGCAACACTGAGCCTTATGATGTCATCATTGGAATTGATCAAGGAGAGGTCATCTCTCTTTTGCTCTGGGTTATTTATTACAATCCTCTCTTATCACGAATTCAAAAGTCAAATTACGGATACAAAATGTCTGTTTTATGGCAACCAAACATCACCAAAACTGAAACAGATGAGCTTACTGCACATATACCAAACTCCGCCTATATGGATGATACGATATGGATTACAGACAGTTTAATAAATTTCACCGCTATATTTGATATTGCTCAATCATTTTTTGACCTAAATTCAATGAAAGTCAATTACAACAAATCTTTCATTCTCACCTCCGAGGCAACTGAAGTGGATATTTCAATTTTTAGTGAATTTCTTAACCAACCTGTCTCCTTTCCAACAAAAAAACCCTCTGAATCAACAAGATATTTGGGCGTTTGGATCTCTGCTAATTACAATAAGTCATTTATTAAACAACAAATTAAAGATGAAATCGCTGACTTTATCTTAAAATTAAAATACAAACCCTTGACTGACAAACA